TGCCATGAAGAATTGAAGCAGTTCTGAAGGAAAAATGGGGTCCAGCCTGTTACTGCCAAGGTGTACCTAATGAAGCGTCTGCTGCGTGTTTACAGTTACATTTGATTTAATTGGAACTTTAATAAGAATCTATATGTACAAAAGTAAAAGCAGCATCTTTTATTGCTTTAGTTTTTTATTTTCTTTGTTAGACAAGCAAACAACAAAAAACCCACAAAGGACACAAACCAACCAAACACCAGTGATCTCAAACACAAGCTGACTTTAAGGCCGACGCCAACAGGAAGCAAACTCAGATCCTGACATGCTCAAACAGATTTATACAAAAGGCAGAGACACAAGACGGCAGAAAGATTTTCACTTAGATGAACTTGTAAAATAAAAAGTCTAATCTGGAGTTGCTGAACTAAAGCAACATTTCATGTTTTTCTCTGGTTTTCTTTGTTTTGTTCGTTTGTTCACTTTTTTCCAGGAATCCAATTCTGGTCTTTATTTGACCCAAAAAATGTTTGTGCTTGAATATTGAGGTGAAATTAAACAGCTAGTTATATAAAACCAGCACGAAACAAAAAGTCATAGAAAGAAATGTTCACAAAACAAACGTAGAGATTAAAGAGAGCCTCATTTTGAGTGTATGGATTTATCCATGAATCACTCACTGAGTAAACTGACATGCTGCTCAGTTTGTTTTTTTAACTCAAGCATGTAAATTATATTAAATCAAAGTAAAAATTCAACAGTCTCAAGGCTGAAGAAGTTTGGCTGTACCAAAAATAAACCTGCAAATGCTTTCTGATGTTTGTTGTGGTTTCCATATTCAGCAGTTTATGAAGAATCAGTCAAAGGTTGGAAAATCAAAGAAGCATTTAAAAGTGTCTCTGTTACATTAAAGAAAAAAAAAAAAAGAGGTTGTCTGGTCTCCAGTGACTTTGACTTAATTTCAGGCAGCAACAAGCAGCTCATGCAAATAATTCAACAACAATCAGGCGCCATTATTTTAAATATGCGTCCCCTTTTTCTGAACGTCGAGGGATCAAAACCAGTTTTTATATTCTGACAGCCCCACTCCACAGTTGGTAGGACAAGGCAGAAAAAGCTTTGCCTGTAACACAGCAGGAAATGAATTGTGCTCATGAGTCATCATCTTACAGAGAAACACAGGAGACACCAACCAGCTTAAAGGGGCAGTTCAAACAAACTCACAGGTTCTTCCTCCGGCCTGCACTGATATCCATCCACCTTTATCAGTTTGGTCTCAGACATGCCTACAGCTGCTTATTACTGCAAAGTAACAAGCTGATAAAACACGAGCATGTCAATGACTGTAACCACAGACCTGGTGGATGATCTGCATCACAAAAAGGCTCAAAAAAACAGTGTGAACACAGAGAAATGATCCAAATTAGCTGAGCTGTAGACAGACAACGGTCAGCTACAGCTTCCCAAGGTGGACAATTCGAATTTCAAGCCACAATCAAATCTAAACAGACATAAAGGAAAAGTGAACCCACTGTACAGTTCTTATGAAGGATGAAAACAGCCACAGAGGGCAGAAACATTTCTGCAGCAGGCTGTTAACATGTTTATTTCTGCTATGATGCTGTGGACCGAAAGGAAACTGGCCATGTGACTAAAACATGGCTGGTGGATAAAGAGCACCGCAGGCCACAGGAAAATGTGCACATTGTGGATTTGAACCACCCGTTAAATACAGCATTGTGTGATGAAATCCAGCTGAAGGGTTTCCCTCTGAAAGCAGCCGTTCTCACATTTTTTCTAAAGTCCTGTTTTTGACACTGAACTTTTCAGCTGAATGAATCAAAATATACACATGCAGCCGAGTGTTGCTCATATATACAGACGTGACCGTGTATGAAGGAACTCTGAACCATCTACAGCGTTTTCTAATTGGTTCTGCCATCATTTCACAGCCCTGAGGAGATTTTATGACCTGAGAAGCTCATTTTCATCCAGACACACACACAAACCGTCACCTCGCCGACTGACTGCGTCACCGCTAAACCTACGTAGAAAAATATAAACCGTCCCTTATTTTCTCTTGTGCTGGACCTCCTAAAGGAATGTCAGAAGTTAAGTCTTCTTGGCACTTTTTCAGGAGCTGCCTCATCGAGTCCGCTGTGCCAGATCAAACCCGGGGGGATAAAAGCTTTGTTGAATCTGCTCCATAAATCTGTCAAACCAGGTCTGTTTTTTTCTAGCTTATTTTAGGAGAGATAAAGAAAAATACTGGATCTGAAATGAAAATCCAAACAATAAGAAGGGCACTGGTGGTTAAACAAAAAGGCAAATGTGCTCATATTTCACATTTTGGTGCAATCAACAATCAGAACATCAAAATTCAGAAGTTTTAGGATCCCAAACTTCATGTTTTACTTACAAACCATCATCTGTGCTTTCAAAAAATGACTTTGTGGAGAGATGGAACAGTTAGCAAGTAAACGGATATAAGAAAGATGAGATCTTCTCGTCTATCGTCCACTGTCAAACATTAATAAGGAGACATTAATAAATGGTTCCTAACACACTGTAACGTTACAAGTGCCCACGATATGCTCATTTACAGTTTCATCGTTTCATTTTGCAGCAGACTACGTCTACATGTTTAATGTTAAAGAATGCAGGATTTTCCTCACAGGCTTCACTGATACAGAACCTCTGGCCCTGCTGTGATTGGTCACCTGTCTCTGCTGTGATTGGTCACTTGGCTAATCGAGAATAAGGCACTGTCAGAGAACGTCTTTGTAGGGAGTCGTGCTGAGACGATCCAAAATGAAGGAGACTTCATTGAGCTGCAGCCAAAAATGTAAAATTTGCAGGGTCAACATTTTTGATAGAAGGGCAGGAGAGTGTATATAATTCTACTTTCTCTCTCTAAATACTTTTTAAACAAGTTCAGTTGAAGTAAAATATATTTTTGTAAGTATTAGAGACGTGACAGGAGCGTGCACCACGAGTACAGCAGCTTTGATTTCAGTCATGAAGCGAGCAGGAGAGACTTTTAGATCCAGTCAGCTTCAATCACAGCCGGCTGCTTCTGTTTGTGCTGTGGTTCAACCACACTGCTCTGGGAACGGGCATAGTCGAGGGGGCCGTCCTGACCAATCAGCACGTTTTAGCACAAGGCGAATATTTTAACTCGAAAGAAAAAAAAATAAAATCTGCTTCACTGGAAGAAAAATGTAATGGCCTGAGTGTAATTTTATTTTTATCAAAAAACAAACAAACACAAAAAAAGTAAAATGAGGGATTTTCTGTGTAGAGCACAATCATTTTAGCCCCCGAGCTCCACACACTCCACTCCACTCAGGAAAATCTGTCTACTGCCCCCTGCTGGACTTTAGGGAGTTTCTCTACAACAAGTTTTGCTTCAGTTTAGCGAGAACAGTGAGCGAAGTTCATCTGAGGACGAGTCAAACCAGCGGCCAGGCGGCCACTGTGCCCCGTGCTACACTCAGAGACCCACTCAAACAAAGGAAACGTATAAAAAAATAAAAAGGGCACTTCATTTAGTCTGCATGTCGACAACAGTAACTCCTCCTGTGCTGTAATGACAGGATACTGATGACGTACTGTAATCCTGCAGTTATGAATGTCGACACAAACTGGAAACACTTGAAAATGTCTTTTAACTCCTAATTTACAGTGTGTTAGAAACATTTACTAAATATTGACATAGTTCTACAGATTTGTAATTTCATGTAGCCAGATTTCTTTTTTCTTTTCTTTTTGATCATCTCAACCTGTCAGATTCATCTTCTGACCCACAAGCCGACAGACAACCGAAACCCAACCGAACAAACCAATCAGAGAGCAGAATCATCACCTGTGAACTGTAAACACTCCTCATTAACTGGCCCAAGAGCTGAGATGACGATCGCATAATCTTATAAATATATAAAACTGGAAAAAGTGAAATGATGTGCTCTACAAAGCAAAGAATACGTCTGGTTCACGAACCACACTCTGCACTAACTGATCCCATTTTTCTGTCTTCTTTACTGAATTCTGCAGGCTGGCTTCATGCTGCAGCTGCAGGAGTGAGAGAAATGTGCTTCAGCCCACAGAAGATCAAAGACAAAAGAAAAGATCTAGTAACAGTTTGGTCGCGAGGCACAAACACAAAGTCCGATATAATGAGTAGGACTTCAATGTAACACCAAGTTATGAAATGTAGAAAACAGAAACGCAGGGACATGTACCAGATTAGAGAGTTTCCTCAAGCAGCTTTGAAAGAAACCTTAGCTTTGGAGTTCAGAGCAAACTGTGTGGAAACACAGAAAATGTGCAGCATCTCTCAGATGACCAGTCGAGTGGAAGAGGAGAAAAACTGGTTATCTCCTCTGCTTTTAGCTGTGAATTCAAATTCAGTGATTTGTTGTCTTTTAGAGATCTTTGGAAAAGCAGACGTGCCGACAGAACCCAGTTTTATCCACTGTCCATGTTACATTTTTGTGCATTTTTCAAGAATGAAGATTCATCCTGTTCTATAAAACGCCTCGCTGTCAGACGCAGAAACCTAGAAAAGCTCCGCAGCTTCACCAACAATGATGGCAAGAAGTTAAGTAATAGACGAGTACCGAAGTTTAACAGTCAGCAGTTCAAATGATGATGTACCACATGATTACAGACAGGACCTGACGGTCTCCAGGTATGTTCACCTCCTTAAAGCAACTGTGTGCAAGCTTGAAATAAGCAGAAAGAAACTCGAGCCCAAAACTGCTGCTGATGATACTGAAATGAAAAGAAATGCCACAAACAGAAGGATCATGGATCTCAAGCAGACAAAATAAATGTCAATGATATTCAGCTGAACAGCTTTTCTACAGTTTTTCTTAGACAAAGGTCCAAAAACTCAGCAGGCAGACGTCACACCGATAATCCTCACTCCCCAAACGTCACATCACGCAGAAACTCCAGCAGCCTCGGTGACGTTCCTCCAAGCTGCTGCGGGAAACGTGAGAGAAATCCTTCAGAACTTCTCAGAAGTTCGGCTGCCTTCGTTTTTTGGCCTCGATGGCGTCGAGGATGGGCTGCCTCTTGGACTGGTAGCGCTGGCGGATCTCCTCGATCTCCTGCTCCATCTGAGGGTCCAGAGAGGCGAGCTTCAGCCGCAGATCCTCCACCGACCACGTGCTTACCTAGAGGAGAACACATTGAACTATGTTAAGGCTGCTGTTCTTATTCATCAGCATCGAGGACCTCGGGTGTGTGACACGGAAAGTCAGGGCACCTCATTAAGAGTTTTCAGAGCGTTGACTTTCAGGCTCCTCTCATGTGGAACCAGCTCACAGTTTGGCTTCAGACTCCCTCCCTGCTCTCACCTCTCTGCTTTAAATTATAGTTCAGGCTCAATGAGGTCACACTGAGTTGGTCACATTTACAAATTTCAGAGAAAAGTCTGAAACATTTCATTATAAATGCGGAAGATTCAAAATAACGGTTATCGCGTTACGAGAAACACAAAGTTTTCTGAACACTGAACGTTTGTCATGAGTGAACTCTCACGGTCAGCTTTTGATACACACAACGCGTCACAACGACATTCAAAGCAGGATTTGATGACTTTAGGGTCAAAGATCAACACGGACGCAGTCCATTAGTGGACGCTGACAAAAACCTTTACCGCGCCCTCAAAGTACGTCACACATGACAGCAATAACCAAAGTGTCTGATGAAAGTATCTATTTTAGCAGCTTTCAAAGGATGAATCTATTGACTTGTATTCAATCCCTCCTCTCTCGGTTGCCAGCCTCAGACAGGGACCTGGTGCTTGCTTTAGCTTTTCCCCAGGGGATTCCCCCTCTCGGCTTTTACCAGCAGCACAACGCTCTCAGGCTATTTATTACCCAGAATCAATAGAGCTAAAATAACGCCGCCGTTTGAGTCCACTAGACAGATAACCGTGAACAAGGGAAGGTCCTACAACTGGACTCCAAAAAAGCGGCCAAAAGGGCCAAAAGCTCACATCAACATTTGCTGCTGATATGTCCAGTTTATTCAATATATTTACAGTAATCAATCATGAGTATTGCTTACAGGAATCATCCAACTAAAGCATTTAAAAATGGGACAAGACCTTCTTTGATTTATGGACTCATCAATGAAGAAGTAAAATTAACCCAACAGACCAACAAATATATTTTTTATGTCAGAAGCATTTTAACTTTTGGAGAAGACAGCTTAATTATTAAACTAGCCAATAAATTCTTAATCGGTTATTAAACTAGCCAATAAAAAAA